GGTAGCGCACGCCTGTAATTCCAGTTACTTGGAAGGGGAAGGCTGAGGCAGAAGGATTGCCGGAGCCCAGTAGGTCGAGGCTGCGGTGGTGGGGAGCGGCTACTGCACTCCAGTCTAGGCAACAGAGTGAGACTCCCACTCAAAAAAATAAATAAATAAAAAGAACAGGGAAAAGCCTCTGACATTTTAAAAAACATGATAAAGAAAATAAAACAATCAATATCAAAGCTCAAAGGTAAAGATTAAAAAAAAAAAGCTTCCGGAAAGCAGAACAAAAAAAGACCTAGAAAACTATAAAGAAAAGCCAAGACTCAATCCAGAAATATAATATCCTACTAAAAGGAATTCCATAAAGGGAGAATGGAGAAAAGAAAAGGGGGAAGAAGTGATCAAAGTAACATACAGAAAAACTTCCCAGAACCTAGGACAGGAGTTTCCACACTGAAAGGGCCCGCCAGGTTGCCCAGCACAATGACCATCCCACCTTCTGTGAGATTTCAGGACACTGGGGATAAAGATAAGATTTTAAAAACAGGGAGGAAAAACACAAGATCAAGAAGGTCACACAGACATACAGGCATTAAGGGACTGAATCCAGCAGACTTTCCAGAAATAACATCAGAAATGAAGACAGTGAAAACATGCCTTCAAAATTCAGAGAGAATGAGTTCCAACTTAGAACTGTATTCCCACCAAACACCAATCAGATAGAACAAGATTATAAACATATTTTCAGATTCCAAAAATTAGACCTCCCATGCACCCTTTTCCAGGAAGCTTCTGGAAGATGTGTTCCAAACAGTCAGAGAGAGCGAACTGAGTGTCCAGGGAACAGGTGACTCAGCACAGAAAAGCAAACAGAATCTCCAGACTGAAGGTGAGCCTAAGAGCCAGGGCAACAAACAGCAGGGCAGCAGAGGCCTCAAAAGCATGCTGACTGCAGCTGGAGGAGACGCCTAGGAGAAACGTCAGAGGGGGAAAAAGCAGAGCCCAGAGCTTCCTAGATCAGTCTGGTTTTACTGAAAGCAGGGCTGGCTTTTCTTTTCATTCAACTGAAGCATCTGGAAATAAACTAATGACAGGCACATAGCTGAGCAAACTAAAACAAGACAAGTAGCCACTAGAGCAAAACAAAAAGTGATACAAGAAAAGGAAATGTAAGCCGCGCTCGGTGGCTCAGCCTGTAATCCCGCACTTTGGGAGGCTGAGGTGAGTGGATTGCCTGAGCCCGCATGTTCGAGACCCGCCTGGCAAC